GATGATAATATTATATTTCCAGAACATATTATTCAAAAAGGGAATAGCTACACAAAATTTAAAATAAAATTTAATCCTTTAAAGATAAAATGTTTTTAATAACTATGTGTGTATCTTTAGAGTAATATTAGAGACTTTTCGGTGTAAAAACATTTACAATTTTTAATAGCAGAAAGAAAAGGGGCGTGCGTAGCGCGCAAAAATAGTGACTAGTAACTAATTAATATGACCAGTAAAATAGCATTTTTGACGCGTCGCGAAAAATAAACTGCTTGAGTATATCAACCGCACTGACAATGAAGAAGTCTCATGTCAGCGATTGGACCTTCAACATGTGGAAAGGGAAATTTTTCCCTTTCCTCCTTGAAATTACAAGAGAAAGGATAAAAACTTCTTCATCGTCTGTGCGGTTGATATAGTCAAACACTTTATTTTTTCGCGATCTGAGACTCTGTTGCTCTCTGCGCAAGCGCAGAGCGTACTAAGAATGCATTGAAAGCACCATGTGGAAGTGCACATTTTCTTTTGAATGAAACTTAGTTGTATTCTCATTTTTTCAGCTATGCAAGGCGTAGTTACCAAATTGAATACGTCAGTTCACCATTTTCATAAAAAAAATGTGAATTTATATTTATGTACGAAAATGAGACGTCGTGCAAAAATGCTTCACTATTCGCTATTTTGAAGCATTTTTGCACGACGTCTCATTTTCGTACATAAATATAAATTCACATTTTCTTTATGAAAATGGTGAACTGACGTATTCAATTTGGTAACTACGCCTTGCATAACTGAAAAAATGAGAAAACAACTAAGTTTCATTCAAAAGAAAATGTGCACTTCCACATGGTGCTGTCAATGCATTCTTAGTACGCTCTGCGCTTGCGCAGAGAGCAACAGAGTCTCAGATCGCGAAAAAATAAAGTGTTTGACTATATCAACCGCACAGTGCGGTTGATATACTGAAGCAGTTTATTTTTCGCGACGCGTCAAAAATGCTATTTTACTGGTCATTTTAATTAGTTATTTTACTAATTGCTTTTTATTGCTCATAGCCAAAAATGATTTCTTTGGACACTTTGAAACTCTAATTTTCCATTTTTTTAGAGAAAGTGTAAAAATGTTAATTTTTGTAAGAGAAATGGCTGTTACAAAAATGCGATTTTTGTGTTTGGTTGGTTTACCTTTTGGTTTTATTACATTTCACACCTTGGACTTACCCTTAAGGGTCTATGAAGGAGTTTACACCGTAAGCCTTAAATATAAGCCTCCGCGAGCTTAAACAGATATGCCTCCACGAGCATATACCTGCGTCTGCACAAAGTGTTTGCCTGCAGCTGTGTTGTGAAAGAGTTCGCCTTGACCACGTGTTCTTGCAGGCGCAAATATATGCTCCTGGAGGTATATCCGTTTATGCGCGTGGAGGCTTATATTTAAGGCTTACCGTGTAAACTTCTTCTATGTAAATTGTGCTGTAATATTATCGATGGATATGATCCAAAATATCATGCTGAAAATCCTGATGAAGTAATAGCGTCAGTAACTTAATGGCCTCTTAATGAAGGTTTTTTTTATAAAGTTAAATTTAAATGGAGTTGATTTAAAATGAGACCTTTTTTACTTCACGATTTTCTGAAATCTACTCAAGAGTCTTATTTTCAAAACTCTATTGCTACTGCTAATGGGAAATGTATTGTTTTACAAATTGACTATGCAGAGAATTTTGCTTTAAAACTTGAGAGAGAAATTCAATCTGCTCATTGGAATCATTCTTACAATTAGTGTACAATTTTCACTGCTTATGCTTGGATTGATGAAAGTCTAGGGAAAAGTTATGCTTTAGTTTCTGATGATTTGAAACACGGAAAGATCAGCGTTTTAAAAAATTTAGAGTTTCTTTTTGATGATCTGGTGGAAAGTTCAATAGACATTAAAGAAGTAAAAATATTTTCGGATGGAGCCAGCCAATTTAATCAGCGTTTTACGCTGTCTCTTCTTCCAGTGTTTAAAAATCGCTACGGTGTTAAAATTTCTTGGAATTTTTTTGCAACTAGTCACGGCAAAGGCGTTGTTGACGGATTAGGTGCGACAGTAAAAGGAGCAGTTTGGAAAAGAATTAGAGCAGGAGAAAATGTTAAAACGGCTTTACAGTTTACTAATGTAGCTCAAAAAGCGTGCTCTAATATGAAAATTGCTTTTATATCGAAACAAGAAATTGACGAAAATGGAAATGAGCTTGAGGAGCACTGGTCTGTAGTACAAAAAATTCCACTGTTACAAAAAAAACATTTTATTCGAGTAGTAGATAGTCTAAAAGAATATATATCGAATGTAATGTGTAACCTATAATAACAAAGTTCAATAAATTTTGTTTCAATTACGTTCAATAAACATATTTTATCAATTATGACAGTTAGTAATTTTTTCCGAATGTATCTAAATTTTATATTTTCATAATTAATTTATATAACCTTTCAATAATACATTTTGACATTTGTGTATTAAAAAATTGAAAAAAATCCGTGGGTCACAAAGTCAAGTCCGTGAGTCATGCTGCTTAAATGAGTGAAAATACTAGAAAATTTATTAAAAAATCATTTATAATTGTTTCTCTGTATCCTTCTGTTTATGTTAGTATACATTAAATATTTTTAAGACTTCAGAATTCGTAGAATTTTCATATATTATAACAAATTATTGAAAAGTGTGTCCTGAAAATGTCCGTGCGTCACTCTAAATAAATTAACAAAAAATGAGGGATAGAGAAATGAAAAAATATTTTTAATATAAGTTTTAGAAAGATCGGCTAATTAGATTTAAGGTATGCAATATTATTTTGTATTTTAGGTTTATTTAAAAGTTTCAAATAAGCTAGATTAGTAAAAAGTGTCGAACAAACGTTCATGCGTCAAAAGTGGAAATGCCCTTTATTTATTTCTTGAATTTTTTTTTAAATTTAATTCGAATTATTTGTAAGTTAATTGCCGATTTGGAAAAATTTAGTTTTTGAATTCTAGAATTTTTAGTTCAGAAAAATATTACTAAAATAATCATTATTAAAATAATAGTGTCATCATTATTATTGACATATTAATTTTACTACTATTATTGAAATAATAATTAAGGAAATTATTATTTCTATAATAGGGGAGACTGGGGCTAAATGTTAAACTGTCAAAACAATTAAAATTCATTATCTTTCGAACGGAAATAGTTAGAGCATTGCAATTTTGATTATAGAAGGGTGTTATCGCTCTAAATAAATGTCCGAAGTTATGTGACATTCTGTTCATTTTTGTGGTGTCCATAATATGAAGTGTGTTTTGACCCGACATTTGTAAATTTTTGTAAAAGCCCATAATTTTTTTTTTGAAATTTTAATTTATTAACTCTATAACTGTAGGGGAACATAGTCGAGGTCGGCCATGTTTAAAATTCAAAGGGCATTAATCGTTAAAAAATAAAATAACATGTTTGGAGTTACGGAAAATTGATTCTTTATAGCTTACAGCTTGTAACTTAATGAAATAACAAAATAATAAAAATAAATATAAATAAAAAAAATTGCACTGATATATTAATAAAATTAAATAAAAATATTAATAAGATGATCAATTATATTATGAGTTATACAGAATTGCAGTTTTTGCAAATGAACTAGCTCGTCCTCATCTTTGCGCATTTTAAACACAAAGTGGCCGACCTTGACAGAAGGTAACATTACCGAATTGTTGTAACGAAAAAGAAATACGTTTCGGGATTCGATTTTTCACTTTGATTTTTTTTCAACCATGAGTCCCACAAAATTTTTGGAGCTTGCCTTGACGATTCAATTTTTTTTTTATCTTTTATTAATGATTTTTCACATGATGCACAAAACTTTTTTTGAGCTTTTTTTGTACCAACATCACAGAAAACACAATTTTCGATTCTTCGAAAATGTAATTGAACAAAAAGTTAGGTTTTACTAAGCCAAGTTTCGATAAGTATGCGCGTAGGTGGCGCTAGTGAACTTGACAAAAAAACGCGAATGGCCTACCTAGACAGTGGTCCAACCTCGACTACACTCGACTATACTCCCTTACTACAGCTATTGTTAAATAAACACAGTTAATACAATATGTGACGACCCAGATGGTCTTATCTTTTTTTTTAATGAATAAGTTGTTCTTTTACCCGAGTTCATTCAAATTCGCGCGCCAAAGTAGCGCGCATGAATGCACTTAGCAGACGACTTGCACGACGCCGGGGAGACTTGTTGCTCCCGCCAGATAGATGCGAGCAGTATATGGCCACTTGAAAATTTCAACAGGCCAATAAAGAAGAAGAAGAAGATAGATGCGAGCCTTTTGCGAGATTACACTGTAAGATTGTTGCGCTGTAGTTATCGCCACTACGATACTGTATTCGCGCCTTTTTATAATTAATGATTAATAAACGTTTTGTTTAATAATTTTCTAATGACTTGTTCCTTTTATGTGATTACTAATCGACATTGTCTAGGATTAGCCGCCACGAGGATCATCCGTCGACCGGTAAGTTCGCTCTGTTCCATTCACTCTTTCTTCTGGCCGATTGGACGACTACTTGGCAGCCTCTCTAAAGTCGGTTCTACAATGAGCACGGTTGTTCGTGTTCGCTATCGTGAACGTGTACGTGCTCCATGCTAAACTATATTGAACGCATACACGTTCACGACAGCGAACACGAACGACCGTACTCATTGTAGAACCGACTTCAAGTCGGTTCTACAATGAGCACGTCGGACGAGGAAGTCTACAATGGGCACGTCAGACGACCACGTCCGACGTGCCCATTGTAGAACCGACTTTAATAGCATAAGTGACGTCAGCACGTCACTTATGTTGTTGTCACAAATAATAATTCAGAATAAATGTTCTGTTTCTAAATTTAAATTTCGGTAATTTTTAAATATTGATATTAAATTCAATATTAAAATAAAATTAAATAATGGTGTTATTTTTGTAAATTTTTAGAACCTGTATGGCTGAAGCTCCACAATGGAAGAATTGTAAAGCAACTTCGGCTGAGTCAATGCCTCCGGTTGCAAGAATTGGAAATCCGGGTAAACTATTAGCAATTGCAGAAACTGCTCTTAATGCCATTGGTCGAATTGCATTTCCTGAGACGCCTCCGTATGTTGTTAATTTATTTCTACCAACTACTGGCCACGGTGATCCATCTCCATGTAGTCCCATTAACCCCGAAACTGTGTTAATTGCAGTGACGCCGTCGGCTTTTCCTGAATGGTAAAAATTATCATTTTTATTATTCTTTGAACGATTTTTCTCAATTTTCATTATTGTTAGAGAAAAAAAATTAATATTATCAATTTTTTTTAATTGATAGAAAGTTAATCTATTTCTATTTCTCAAATACTCGGAGAGACCCACATTTGTAAAAATTACTAAAAATGGTTGCAATGACCGGAAATAAGGGGACTTTTAGCATAATGTACTACAGAATTAGATAAATTTACAAAAGAAATAGATAAATTTGCTACATTGAAATAGCAAGTTTTAATATTTTGTGTAAGAGTTGTAAATGTAGCGAAAATTGATTATATTTTTCTCTAATTTAATTAGACAAAATCTGACAAATGAAAACATTTTCCACTAAAACCTACTATCCACTGTAGTAATTTTTGATGAGCAAGTGTTGCTAGCGAGTGCAGTCATATGGCGCTTGCATTTCTATTGGTTGCTAACTTCGTCAATCTCCGTAAATGAGCCGATGCCATCCAATCATTGACAGTGACTATGTTTCGCGTATGTAAAATAAATTGGATATTATCTACAATAATCAACTATAAAGTGAAACGTAGGTCGTTCGTTATCACAGAAATTGACCATTATAAATTAATAAATTTTGGATTTATTCCTGTCCCAAGAACTATGTCTTATAATAAGTTGTTAAAAGTAAACTGTTTTCTCGTAAGTGCTGTAAATTTTCATCATTCAATATATAAGGAAACAAAGATCTATACTTTCAGTGAAATTCGTTGTCGTGCGTGCAGTTGTTTATTAGTGTATTAATTAACCGCGTCTATGCATATAAGTGAAATAAACATGTGTGTGTCTTCAAATATTTATCCAACAAATATATAAGTGTGTGTGTGTCTGTGCATGTAAAAATCCTTCCAGCTTACCTTCATTAGTCGAGAATTGACGAGAAACCGGCGACAAAAATCCGTATTTTTTCTTTCACTCTTTCTTTGTGCATTTACAAACGACTATAGTAATTTTACGTACACAATACTTCTGAGTTTACTACAGTTGTTTGGAACTATTGGCTGAAATAGTAAGAAATTTTGCTAATTTGGTGAACATTTGTCGGATTAGTGACTTAGTGTAGAAAATAGTAAAAAATACAAAAAGTCCCCTTATTTCCGGTGGTTGCAATGTGGAAATAGTAAATTCTAGTGTGATTTTATACAAAAATTAGTAACCTCGGTCTCTTCGTGTAGAAATAGATTTCTAAAATTTATAAAAAATAAATTAATTATTTTAAAAAAATGTTTAGGTACTAAATAGTGTTTACTAAATTAAAAAATTATTAAATAAATAAATTTCGTTTTTTAGAATGGATTGTAATTTTTTCCTGCGATCTTCAATTACCTTCAAAAGCAGCTTTTGCAATTATAACAACATCGGTGATATTGGGCGTTATTTTCACGAAAAATGGTATTTTCACAGCATCTCGCACCCATAGGGAGATATTTCTCACTAATTCTGGATCCTGAAAAAGTATTTCAAAATTGACAGAAATATGATTTTTTAATTTAAAAAAACGCTTTGAGAAAAAAATTTTCAAATCGGGTGTTAAAAATTATACACTACCGTCCGTGAGTATCAGGACGCCCCTTTTTCATGAGTGGAAAAATGCTTAAAACGTAAAAATAAGAATGAAAAAAATTTTTCGTATTTTTTCCTGAAAGCTAATAAAATTATTAAAAGACTGACACTTGACCGAAGAATTTTCGTTAACTATTCTGTCAGATACAGAAAAAATACTGGATTTTGCATGCTTTTCGTAATTTTTTAATTTCTCGAAAACTAATTAACTTTTATTAGCGCTCTTGGTCTTGTTTTAATCTCTATTAATTGTAGAATCTAAATTATTAACTGGTATTGTGAAATAAATTTTTCCAAAAAATTTGAAACCGTAATAGTAGGATTAAAAATATTCAAAAAATTTTCATGAATTGTCAAAAAGGTGTCAAAAAGGTCAATGTAAAATATGTTCATTTAATAGATATACTAAAATTCAAAAAAGCTTTTTAAATACTTAATTATTTAATTAAAAAAAATTTGTTTGTTGTTGAAAAAGTGTCAATCTGTTTTTCGAAATTTTTTATCCGACTTTTACAGTTTCAAATTTTTTTGGAAAAATTTATATCACAATACCATTAATTAATTTAGATTCTACATTGAATAGAGATTGAAACAAGACCAAGAACGCTAAAATCATAATTTTATTAGCTTTCAGGAAAAAAATACGAAAAATTTTTGTCATTCTTATTTTCTACGTTTTAAGCATTTTTCCACTCATGAGTGGAGTTTTTAGAAAATGAATTTTGAAAAATTATTTTTAAAATTAATTTGATAGAATTTTTTGAATAATTTGATTTTACAAAATATTTTGCAAAATTTATATTTGAAAATATACTCACAGACGGTAGTGTAGTTTTTAGAAAATGAATTTTGAAAAATGATTTTCAAAATTAATTCGATAGAATATTTTGAATAATTTGATTTTACAAAATATTTTGCAAAATTTATATTTGAAAATATACTTTTACAAAAACTGGACAAATTCTTTCTTCTGCACTGAGAGACCTTTGGGACTGTAGCGGAACAACGTATGTGACAGCAGCTCTACTATGGTTTTGGTGCGCTGCTGTAAAATTTTGGGCGCGTGACAGTCCCAAATGTTGATGAGCAGCTCACCGAAGTAGTAGGGATGCTGCCTTTGGTTTGCAGCTGAACAACTTTTGGATTGTCACGCGCCCAAGATTTTACCGCAGCAACCCAAAAGTATAGTTCTGTAGCGTACCGCCAAAATGGTTAGTAGCAGCCTATCGAAAGTCTGCTGCTGACCCAAAGGTCTCTCAGTGTGTAAATAATTTTACCTTTTTAGGGTTCCGTATCCGCCATCCGGTAAAAACCCTATTAAAACGGTTACGGAAAATGACCATGTACCCCCTCCCCCTACCACTCTCAGTTTTTTCATCTAGAAAGCTAAAAATTGGTACACGTATGTATTTTCACGCGTAGATTACAGGAAAAATATAGCGAACATATTTGGTTTTGATCTTCATAGTGTGTTTAGCGAAAAACTAAAAATTTCGAAAAAATGCATGTACCCCCCTCCTGGCGCCCACAGTTTTGCACCTAGAGAGCTGGAAATTGTCATACTTATGTATTTTTACGCGTAGATTACAGGAAAAATATAGCGGAAATGATTAGAATTGATCTTTATGGTGTTTTCATCGAAAAACTAAAATCTCTTCTTGTAAGCTCGAAAATACTTTAACCCTTGCTGGTTCTCATAATTCTTTATTTAGTGGACTGGCGTTATACATTTTTATTTATTTTCACGTGTAGATTTCAACCAACATACAAAAAAAATTATTGGAGTTCAATTCATATTTGTTTTGATTTGGAAAAAAGTGTGTACGCCCCCCTTGGTTTTCACAATTCTTGGCTTATTGGACTGCAGTTTTGCATTATTTATGTGTTTAAAAATATTATAGGAAAAATATTGGGAGTTGATCTTTATATGGTTCTCAACGAAAAAATTTACATTTTTGAAAATTTGGTAAAAAAAGTGTGTACTTATTCCTGGCGGTTACAAATCTAGTGGACTGCAGATTTATGTTCGTACATATTTTTATATTTAGACTTCAAGAAAAATTCAGTACGGGTACGGAACCCTCGGTTTTAGTGCGAGTTCAACACTCACTTGTCTGGTTTTTTAAAAATTAATTTGAATTTAAATTTAAAAATTTTAAATGTTAAATTTAAAAAAATTATAAAAAGATGTTTTTAAAATAATAAATTAAAAATTATGAAACAAAAATTTTTTTAAATGTTTGAAAATTTGTAATTTTTGATTCAATATTTTTTTTACTTTTTTCCTATTTAATTGATTTAAATTATTTAATTAATTATATTAATTTTAAACCTGTCCACATGCTAAGCCCATTCCAGATTCGCCCATTCCATGGGGACAGGATAAATTTAATTCCAAAGCATCAGCTCCAGCATTTTCGGCTTTTTTTGAAAGTTCCGTCCAATCGTCTTTATCGAAACTGCACATTATGCTAGCTATAATAATCTGTAATTTTATTTAACAAACATTTTTTATTTATTCTATTCTATTCTTCGTTTACTGTATCTGTTGTTTCTGAGTCATTTCATTAAATTTTGACTAAAGTCGTTAACGACTAATTTAATATAATTATAATATTTTGCAGGAATGATTTTAAAGGTATTAGGATAAAAATATAAAATAATTATTAGAATTTATAAAGAATGACTTAGTTTATTATTATAAATTGATAGAAACAATTAATAATAAGAAATAATTAATGAAAAATGATTTTAAAATTCACCTGGCAAATAACCAAATTTTGCAAATTTTATTCACTAAATGTGAGAAACAGAAATCATTAAATTAAATAGAACCTTATCAAATATAAAGTACCTGTGATTAAATTTTAGTTTTTCTTATCACTTTCTTTATTTTTTCTTTACAAATGTGAAAAAACAAGCAATTCAAATTGGCACTTTGTGTCAGATATTTGAATTATTATGTATTGCGCGCCAACTTCATCATTTACTGTGCTGCCACCTAGATAAGTGGTTTTCGTTGTAGCGTGCTGTACGAGTTTTAGTTTGCCGTTAGAGCATGAATGTATAACATTATCTAAACATATTATTCAATAAATTATAATAAATGTTCAATAAGGTGTTTTATTTAAAACCAAAAAACAATATAAATAAAATATAAAACATGGCGCAGTCGTCACGGTCGTGAAAGTGAACCTTAAATTGAAAATAAAAGCAAAAAAGTGAGATTTTATTAAGACGCCACGCGGAGCCGTCGAAGTGAAAAATCTTGAAACAGCAAAATGGAGGATAATGGTGAAAATGGTGATGATCGAGATGTTCAGCAGCAACATGGAAGGAATCAAAATGTTGTGGTCCAACAGCATAATCCATTAAATTTGAGACCTCCTCCACCTCTTTCCTTGGATGGAAACCTGGCAGAGAAATGGAAAAAATGGCGAAAAAAGTTTGAGATTTTTATGGAAGCAACCGAAAGCTCTTCCAAACAGGACGATGCAAAAATCGCTATCCTATTATACACACTAGGAGACGAAGCACAAGAACTTTTTGAAACGTTCGAATTCGAGGAAAATGGAGAATCGAATTATGAAATTGTTTTACAAACTTTTGAAACATACTGTGTTCCAAAGAAAAATGAAAGCATGAGCCGACATCTTTTTTTTCAAAGATCACAAAGGGAAGGCGAAACGATAGAAGAATTCACAACAGAATTGAAGCGTCTTAGCTTGGATTGTTCATTTGGAGAACTTAAAGACAGCTTAATCAAGGACAGAATTATTAGCGGAATTGAAAGCACAATTCTAAAAGATCGCTTGTTACGAGAAGAGGATCTAACCTTGGAAAAATGCATCAGGATTTGTCGAGCTGCTGAAGTTGCTAATCAGCAAGTACTAAAAATGAAGGAACCAGCCAAAATCGAAGCCGTTAAGTATAAAAAACCTGAGAAACAAAATTATTCAGCAAACAAAAGAGGGATGACGAAGCAGAAAAATTTCACCCAGCAGGCGGGAAAAGCAGGAGCAGTTTCAAATATGGCGTCGTTCAAAGCAGAGGAAAATGGACCCAAGCATCAGCAAAATTATAAAAGGAATTCTACAGTGTCTTCAACATGTTCCAGATGTGGTTACCAATACCAGCCCCGCAGTTGTCCAGCGTATGGTAAAACTTGTAAAAAATGCAAAAAATTAAATCATTTCGCTCAGGTATGTAAAAGTTCGAACAGTATAAATGAAATACAAACAAGTGTAGATTTCCAGGATAATCCTGTAGATTTTAATGAACATTATTTCCTTAGCGCAATTAAAATTTCAAATGTAAATTTAGAATGGACGGAAAAAGTAACTTTTTTAGAAACGGATAAAAATATTAATTTTAAACTTGACACGGGAGCAGGTTGTAATGTAATTAATATTAAAGACTTTCAAAAATTCGGCCCGAAAATGCAATTTGAGATCACTAGAGCAACATTATCAAACTATGATGGTTCGAATATTGTTATTTTAGGTAAAGTAAAAATACCTTGTAAAATCAATAAGAATAAAATTGATTTAGACATTTTTATAACTAAACAAGAAAACACGAGTCCCATATTAGGACTTAAAACTATTTCCGAACTTAAGCTTTTGCAAAAACCTTCTACGACTGAATTAAACGAAATTCAAATAATTAGCGAATCAGATTATATTCAAAAACTTGTAAAAGAAAACAAAAATCTTTTCGAAGGTATAGGAAAGCTAGATTACGTCTATGACTTTAAATTGAAACCAGGTTATGTAGGTCAGGTAGTTCCTTGTAGAAATGTACCTTTTAAGCTTTTGAATGATTTTAAACAGGAATTAGATCAAATGGTATCTAAAAATATTTTGGCTAAAATAGATGAGCCTGCAGAATTTGTAAATAGTTTTGCTATTGTCAAAAAAGAAAATAACAAACTTGTAATAGTTTTGGATCCGCAATATTTAAATTCATTGCTTTTAAGAGAACATTTTAGGCTTTCCACATTCGATGAAATTTCTTCAAAAATTAGAAACGCGAAAGTATTTACTAAATTAGATGCTTCTAAAGCTTTTTGGCAAATTCAATTATCTGAAGAAAGCTCAAAAATGACTACATTTAACACCCCATTTGGCAGATTCAGATATCTTAGGATGCCATATGGTATCAAAACAGCTCCAGAAATTTTTCACAGAATTTACAAAGAAATTTTTGAAGGAATTCCGAATATGGAAAATTATATAGATGATATGATTGTTTGGGCAGAAAACGAACAGGAAATGAATCGAATCTTAAATTTAATTTTTAAAAGAGCTCAAGAAAAAGGCATTAAATTTAATTTAGAAAAATGTCAGTTTAATAAAAGTAGTATCACTTTCCTGGGTCACAAATTTACTAAAGACGGGATCGAAATGGATGATAGTCGTTTGGAAGCGATTAATAAGATGGAAACTCCAACTGATAAAAAAGGGGTTGAACGATTATTAGGGGTAATAATATTGCGCTAAATTTATTCCGAAATTGTCAAATTTAACAGAGCCCTTAAGAAAATTGATCAAAAAAGATGTCGAATTTAATTGGTCTAACGAACAAGAAGTTGCGTTTAATAAAATAAAAAAGAGCCTTACCGATTCTCCCATCCTAAAATTCTATGATCCAAATCTTCCATGTACCCTTAGTGTAGATGCAAGTAAATCAGGTGTGGGTGCGGTTTTGCTCCAAAAAGAACACCCTATTGCATATGCGTCAAAAGCATTTACAGAGACTCAGAAAGCATGGGCGCAAATCGAAAAAGAATTATACGCGGTAGTTTTTGCTTGTGAACATTTAAAAGTAAAGCCTATCTAATTGTGGTTGATTATTTTTCTAAATACGTAGAATTTGGATTATTAAGAGATGAATCTAGTGAGTCAACCATAGATTTATTAAAATCTTATTTTGCTCGATTTGGAGTACCAAAAGTTATCAGATCGGATAATGGCCCGCAGTTCAGTAGTAAAAAATTCAAAGAATTTTCTAAGCTCTGGAATTTCACACACGTTACGTCAAGCCCCAATTATCCTCAAAGTAACGGATTTGTTGAGCGTCAAGTTCAAACAATCAAACAAATTTTGAAAAAAGCTGACTTTGATAAAAAAGATCCGCAGCTAGCGTTGTTAGAATACCGAAATACACCGATTTCAAATAAAATTCCTTCGCCGAACAAAATTTTATTGGGAAACAATGTAAGGGGAATTTTTCCTGAATTTATTGAGAAAAATCAAAATGTTTACGTCAGAGATCAACTCAAAAAACGACAGGAAAAAGAAAAGTTATATTATGACAAATGTGCAAGGAACCTTCCATTTTTTAAAATAAATGACAAAGTAAATTGTTAGCTTAATGAATAATAGATCTTACAAAATTGTTACTGAAAATGGAAGATTTCTTATAAGAAACAAAAAGCATTTAAGACGAGACTCTGAAGTAGATTTTAAAATTAAGCCTCAAATTTATTATGATAGTCCAGTCACTTGTGAAACGTCAAATCGTCAACGTGCGATTTCCCCGATTCGTGAACCTGAAATTGTACAGTTAGAACAGCCAAACGTGCCCGTAGTTGTAAATAATCCTGTAATTCAAAAGCGAATTTACACTAGAAAAAATGTTAACTTAGAACCAAAGATCTCGAAACACGGTAGATCAATAAAGCCTCCGAGTTATCTTAAAGATTATGTAACAACATCGTTTATAAAAAAAAATAACTGAGTTTTGTATTTTTGAATTTGCATCTTTTCGAAAAAAGCGAGATGTCAGATATTTGAATTATTATGTATTGCGCGCCAACTTCATCATTTACTGTGCTGCCACCTAGATAAGTGGTTTTCGTTGTAGAGTGCTGTACGAGTTTTAGTTTGCCGTTAGAGCATGAACGTATAACATTATCTAAACATATTATTCAATAAATTATAATAAATGTTCAATAAGGTGTTTTATTTAAAACCAAAAAACAATATAAATAAAATATAAAACACTTTGCTTATTTTCACGATTTTGAAATGTAAATAACTTCCTTCCAGAAAAATTAAAAATTACGAAAATTGTGCGATAGTTAATTGAGCACTAGTTAGTGCTCAATTAATTATTGCACAATTTACACACACTGGAAAAAGTTTTTTTTGGTCCCGAAGCTATTTTGCGAAATAATTAACTTTAAACTTTTCAATATTTTTTATCAGGTTAATACATGTAATATTTTTAAAACTGAAGTTGGTTTAAAATGATTAACCAAGAAAACCTAACTTCGTAAACAAGTGTGTTTACATTTTCTCTTACATAATATTTCTTATATACATTTTCCTAATACTAAGTTTTGCGCCTACAGAGCGACTTGAACCCGTCTAATGGGTTTTCTCGCCAGTGGAGAGGGAAACTGTAGAAAACCTCTTCTGAGTACAACCGGTTTATCGACAGTCGAGTTCTAATGGTGTGTACCGGACAATAATCGACGGT